GTAGCATAAATGAGATCACCCTGTACAAAAAAGGATTTACTAACATTTAGCTATGTATTAAAGCTACTATAGGCTACAAAAAGTAAAAGCCTACTATAAAGCCAAAATGTAGCAATATTCAATATAGTCAAAATTTAGTCAAGAATCTGATTTGTTGTCTTTTGTTTTTACATATACAGCCAATTTCAGTTTAAGCTAACTATAGCCTAAGTTTACTTAGCCTACGTTGCCCCCACTTCCTGTTATTGAAAAGGCCTAAATATGACGATGAACTAACATTTTGGTAATTGAATTTATTATTCGTCGTGGTGAATAAAATATATCGCTAACAGGTAGGCTAACAGCTATAGCTTACAGTACATTTGTTGATGTGTTACATTTGGACAGTGGATAAGCTATTTTCTCACATATCTGAATTCATTCAAATGTGTTTATTTAATTGATTAATAGGCAATTATTAATAAATTGTAAGGGCAAAGCTGAAAGAGCACATGTTGTTTGATGTGTATGTTTTGGGTTAACCCTCACATTTCTTTACATTTTTCCAAAGGCAGTGAAGTTTTGAGGTCTTTTAATCTAAATCCATGATATCTGTTGTAACGTCCAAAAAGACAAAAGTCGTTACACCTGATAATCACCTGTTAGCAGTTTTACATAGAATGAACACTTTAAACCCTTATTTTTCTCATCTTCAGCCTTTTTGTAGCCTACTGTTCTCTGCCTTTATACGGTAGTATTATTGTTTGACCTAGATAATCAGCTCAAAAGACTTTTGGCTTCTTGCTGAGAAATTTTGCTTTATAAGTATAAAATTTGGTCAAAATAACAAATTATTTAATATGTTAAAACTGAGTGAGAATTATTGTCATAGCCTATTTAATTCATCTAAACTATACATTTTGTGAACTGAGTTTTGTATTCAGGCAAGCACTAAAGAAATGCCGTCCAAGCAAAAGAAACTGTGCACTTTGAACCAGAGACCTTTGGTATATAAAAACACGAATCTTACCCACTAAGTTATCAAGCGTACCTTGTGTTACATATGGACCATTATTCAAGACCACGCAACCACACTGTCATATAACTGGGGAGAGAGAGCAGCTGCCGGAGGTCTGTAGTTATAAATCCTAATTGCAATGCAGTCAGAGACAGGTTTTCATCACAGGTTAACAGCATTCTCAACATGGTGAAGTTAAGTTGTTCTTCCAAAAATAAATTATACATTTTCAACAATTATCTGTAAATTAGCCCTTTCATATATGAATTATGTCAGCCTCTGTCAGGATTTTGTTTCCTATGTGTTTTTATTGTTCTTTAGGCATAAAAAATAAAATTAGAATTTAATTTTGTTTAAACACACATTTTTCAAGGTTTTTTTTTTTACATGTCCACTAAGGTGGACAGCCTGCACATAAGGTTTTAACTGAAGAAATATGTATTTAACAAACTAATGAATTAAATGATATAGTATGTGAAAACTATATTTTTAATGCTGTTAAACTAATGTGGTCACATATTCTAACATATTCTAATAATGTTTAATGCAATGCAAAAACGTTGAACCTCAGTTCTTACTCTTCAGCCTCTCTCTTTCTCTGCATCCGCTACACTATCATTGCTAGCATTTGGGGATTCTCCTATTTCTGGCAGCCATTCATCATGACTGTATTATCCTTACGTGATTCTGATGGAATTTACTCCACTATCCTGAATGCCTTTCTATTAGTTGCTGCAAGACACTAAATGTTACTCACAAAGGCTAATAGAACGAATCTGCACAAAATATTGTTTTTGTTACAAAAACTGCAAGTTTTACATTCTAATAACATAAATCCATTGATTTACATCCAAAACAGTTAGTGCACATTAAGTTATTTCAAGAAAAACAAAGTCTCAGTAATAGTTGAAATATAGGCCTAGCCAGCAATAATGTCCAATTTAGTGGACAGATGAATCGTAATTTCCTGCTTGCATTACTCCTTAGTTGTTACTAGATACTACTTACTACTCTCTTATAATTGAAAGAGTGGTAACATTTATCTGAGCTGCTCAGCGTCAGCCATCTTGGTTTTGACGAATTTAAGTTGCATTTACAACGGCTTACCAGAGGGTGGCAGTGTATGGCATGACACAATAGCGTCCACTGTGGCTGATGTGCAACTATCAGAACCTCTGCCCATACCAGTGCGCGGCTTTTTAATAGCTGTCCACTGTAGTGACCACTATGCGTGAAAGGGTTAACACACTGAGTTTATTCTAGTTCACAGCTAAATACAATTCCAAACTTTAATACCTTTCATTTTTTTTGTCTTAAATTGAGTCTTGAACCAGCAACCATGTGTTTTCATCATGGTGCACACATTCAAACTAACCTTGGTGTATGAATTTTTTTTTAGTTTTTGTTCTTCATTTTTTCAGATGCTTGTTTTTTTACATGAATTGATTGACAATTTGCAGTAAGGCTTATAATAGCCTATCATTAATGCAGAATTAATGCATCCCTCAATTGACAATCTTAAGACTGTCACATTGTCTTAGTGCGTCTTGAACCAACAGTCATCGGCCCAATTCCAATGTCCACCCTCACAGACTCACAGACTTTGAGGCGCGTTCCCGGGAAGTCCGTGAAGGCTCAGGGCTGTCCCACTGTCAAATCGTCAAGTGCGCGAGGGCTCTCTCGCGGACATTTTGAGCCCTTTTCGTATGTCCGCATTTATGCAGACTTTGGCTGAGGGAATTGTCCACAGTTTTATAGCGGTATGACATGAAACACGGGGGTTAGCGGGGGAAGGCCGGAAGCGAAAGAAGTATCACGGCAAATCAGCGTTATAAGAGAAGAAGAAAACAGTAAACAAACATGAATCGACACCTACGCTGATGTTAATATTGTTGAAAGTTTTCTTAACTTAAGATGGTGCATAGAACACATGAAGTGAGAGGAATGCAGTCACCTTATTACACACAACTATTTATTTTAGTTTTTGTTTGATGATGCTATTTGACCAACAATAGTGTATTGATTAATTACAAATATATATTGACATTTAGGCTACCTCTCCTCCACTCTGTATAGGGCTAGAGCCTGCAGGACTTAAAAATAAGGCAAAAACATAGAATAAAAAAGTGTGCAAGGTGTTTCAGCGTTGTCAAGGTAACTTGATAAAGTGGCAAAGGGCTGTCCCATTCCCCTTTACAGCATTTTGAGCCCTTGCAGCCTCTTATACTCAATCACTTTCCAAGTGACATCAGTAAAGTCTGTGAGGGTTCAGGGTTTAGGGGGGACATTGGGATTGGGCCATCATGATGCCTGATGGCATTTCCAAGATACCTATTTGCTGTTTAAATACTCACTATGACAACCCCCTTTAATTTAGTAAAACACAATGAAGTATGTGCCAAGATTTGTTCTATGTGCAGTCTTGATTCCACAGGTCTCAGCTCAGGGGAAAGGAGCCTGAGACCCAGTTCCCAATCACATAAAAAATTTTAAAAAATATCCAATTGGAGAGCAAATCTCACAACTAGCCAACTTTAATAATGAAAAAAAATCCTCTTCAATAACAAACAAATGCCTCTTCAAAAAGGTAAATAATGGGTAAGGGGTTTTAATGAAACCAATAAACAAGAGGGGAATCACCAAGCTACTCTCAGTCATTGTTGATAAATCAGTCCTCACACCCAGTTTACAGGTGATCTGAATGATCGTCTAATCAATTCAGAGGAATGTTGATATTGAGCCAAAATTAAATAGCAGCATATAATTGAGGGATTGTTACACAGAATTTGCAGCTGGGGGGGTTATTCATTAAAATGGATGGTGCACATTGTTGCTATGATTCAGTTAGCTACTTATCTGGGGTATAGACACCACAACTGCATTTTTTTCACAAATTCGGAAATTCTCTCCATAGTGAAACATTTTTATATATATTTAATTTGTCCTAAACTCAAATTTATCCATCATTGCCTGAAGGTATAAATGTGTTTTTACAGCACATATTAAACTTCAAGGTATAAATGTAGGACTTTTACTTTGAGACAATATCTACATTGATGTAGTAAAAATGCTTAATTTTTAAATTAAAAAATGTCATAGTTATTCTGGACAAATCTCAAATCTATCAGTCATTGCCAGAAATTATGGAGCAATGTGCTTTTACAGCACCTCAGGGATCACAAAGGAAGCAATTTCAAAGTACAATCGTGGTACTTTTATTTGGAAAGTAGAAAGTAATATGGTAAAAAAATGGTTTATATTCAGTCTGTATATAGGCCTAGTCATGAACTCAAAAGTATGATTAGCTGTCAGTAATTCTTTATTTAATGTTTTTCCAGCAACCCAAAATCAAAGAATAATGTCCTAATGTAATTTCCCTTACATTTTAGAGGATTTTTTTTACACAAGTAACATGATGTTTACTTCTAATTTCAAGATGAGATAATACAAAAAGTAATTGAGATATTATTCATTTCTATTTGGTAGGCTTGTGTCAACACCTTGAAAACCGTACGTATCCTAGTCACACGTGTGTCCTTACCCAAAGTTAATTATAAATGATATTGTATGTGGTGTGCTCGCGTCTGGTACAATTAAGGTTTCGTAGCTTTTCTTCAGGTAAGACTTTCACATTGCGACACGTGTCTTTGGAAAGTGAGAAAAATGTCAGAATATAGTCGCTAACCCTGCCTGTCAGCTGGCTCTGGGCCGTTGCAATGCATTTACCATAAAGATCAGAATACTCGTGCACTCCACATGTAGGGGCAGCTTGTTTTACCCCGTCGGAGATGTTTTACCACGCAGTTTCATAGGCGCAGTGAATGCTACATTCTCATCCTCAAAAGGGATTTTTGATTCGTTAACAATGTTTCAATTGTCAATATGAAATTGAAATCTAAATGCAAATTTAGATAAAAGACTCATATGGGCAGCAAAATAGCATAGCCCTGGCGGAGGGAGGGGGTTGCAGCGAATCAGGGCAGCAGACACTGCAAAGCGCAGGCTGTCACCTCCCCTCCGTCGAGCTGTCAGTTCACAGTCAGCACACACGAGCCTCAAGGCTGCAAACGGAGTTAACCACACGTTGATTTTAAATAACTGTCCCCCTGCGTTTTAATTCGAACTGAGGCAAGAACATGAAAGGATACAGCCCTGTTATCTCTACGGACTGACACAAACGTGCAAGAGGAGGGCTGGCGGAGCCGCTGGCTAGCTGTGAGCTGCTATCTAATGTTAATAGTTAGCTTGCAAGCTAACGGTAGCTAGCTGGTGAGCGGAGTCTGTTTGTGCCGTCTGTTGGTTAGCGAAGGTCGGAGGGACTAACGTTAGCTGGTAGTCAGGAGCGTTTAGTTAGCCATTCAGCATCATTAATATGTCATTTTAATAGTTTGTTTTAAGGCTGCGTGATAAAGTGTGTTTAATTCGTCACTGGGCTTCCGTTTGTTCCTGTCTTTTACGTTAATTCATTTTACGAAATTTAACGTTACCGTTGATGATTGCTAGCTAGCAAGCTACTCGGCTATGCTAGCGCCAGCTCAGTGAGACCTCAGTGCGGAGAGCTCCAGACTAGTCAAGGAAGGAAGAGAGGTGACTTATGATGTGGGCTGGGGCAAGCGGCGGACTGTTAGGCGAATGAGAGCAGCAGTATTAGCTTTAACACCGTATTTTCCTTAATTTTAGTCATTGTCGAGGGAACGTTAGGACCATAGCGTCAGTCAAGCTGTGTGGGACGTCGGATGAAGAAAATAATAGGAGTACTTTGATTTGCGGTCTGGCTAAATGAATAGTGTTGTTATTACTAAGTCGTGAGCTGGTGGCCACTGTGCCACCTTCAAGGGAAGACACTCTGTCAAGATTATCGCAAATACTGCAATAACCAGCCAGTTTGCTTAAAGATGGCTTCGGCGAGCAGCATAGCCGCAGCTATTGCGAGCAAAACGAAGACCAAGAAAAAACACTTCGTTGCCCAGAAAGTGAAGCTCTTCCGTGCCAGCGACCCTCTGCTTAGCGTGCTTATGTGGGGAGTCAACCATTCGGTGAGTCAGACCATCTAATCTCTATGTGATGATCCACAGTTATGTCTCCATCGACCCTTTGATGTCAACTATGAGCCTTTGTGTTATTGCAGTTGATTGACATAAACGAGACGACAGCTGTCCAGCGGTTTTCTACAGTGCGAAGTTTGCTAGGCTCGTTCAGCAAAGCATTGCGTGCTTTCGGAAGTTTTGTTCAGTTGCAGTTTGCATGGTATTAGTATTGGGTGGTTTTGATGTATGCACTAAAATGTATGTGTGTTTGAGCAGGGAACTCTTCTTTGGCTTCCTGTTGTGTACATGTAGGATAAGCTCCTGGGGCTCTGTGTCATGAGAGAGCAGATCTTCCCATGCAAGACAGCTTATCTCTGTTCTCTTTCTCTTCCTTTGCTGAATATTTGTGCTGGGCCTATACTCATGTTGGAGAGAGAACAGACTTGGCAAGCCCAGGACATTCAAACATTTCTGGCACCAAATCCCAAGTATTAAACCTTTTTACCAATGGTGTAAAACATTATAAGGCACAAAAAGATGGTGCTCGATCAACGGACCAAGGTGTTAAATCTGTAGTTGTTTCAGTTCCTTTGCTCTTGGAGTCTTATTTCTAATGCTCTTAACATGGTTATTACAGTAAAGTTAGCCTGTTTACTAAACATTTTATCTCGTGTTTTAAGATCGAGGAGAATGGCTTTCCAAAATGTAAACAAAAGGGCTGAGCAGTAAGTGACTAGCAGCACTCAATTATTCCTTCAGTACATAACCATCTATTTATATATCATTAGGAAACTGTTCCCATGATGTAGCTAATGTTGTAAATGATGACAGTAGTATAGTTTATATCAAATAGAAAATCATTTTGTCCATTTGATGAGTACTGCTTTGCTTTCATGCTCTTTATTCATATCTGCCTGTGGTTGTCCTGCTTGGTTTTGTTGTGTGGCAGTTGTTAGCAGACAGTAGAGGCAGCGGGGGCGGCTTTAGCAGATTTATGCAGAATTCTCGGTAGGAATATAAATATTTATGACTAGTTCCATAACAGACATCAGGTCACATCAATATTGATTTGGTATTAAGTTAATGAGTCAGAGAAATACTGGCTATTTGAACATCTGTCTACTAGAGCCCTATACCTAAAATACAGGGATTGATAATGCATAAACACTGAAACTTTGTAACTAAATGGCCACCGTAGACATCAATACAAATGTATGCTATGTTCCTGTTGCATGCCAGTTTGATATTCTTGCTATATACTGTGCACTATGTGGGACATATTATTTTTTGGTAAGTTTCAATGTGTGCAACACTGTTTAACCCCACTGTTTCTTTGTTTTGATGAAGTTTGGCATATCATCTTATGACTTTGGAGACTGTTCTCTTTGAAATATTACATAATATTGCTATTTTTGGCTAATGCAACAGCAATTTGTGCACAGATGATTTGGCCTGTTTTGAGGTCTGTTTGTTGTTGCATCTAGCTTTGAAAACCTCATACTGATACTAATAACCACACCCCTTTTTTGACATTTTAAAAGCATTGGAGCTATTATTCATTTAGTTGGTCTGTTTGGTCTAACTCCATATGTAGTGGGTTGATGAATCCTGGGGTGAATGATGGACATCTGTGTTAGAGACGCACAGTACTGAGGGCACATTGATCATGGGGTCAATTTAGACAGTAGCATTTGATTTTTGGTCTAGGTTTAGTGTGGATTATGCATTCTCTAGATAGCCTGATGTATGTGAGGCCAAGACAGCTAAAGATCCAAAGCTGTTATTCTGTATCTAAGCTGTAGTCTGTAGATAGATTACCTGGTCACCTGGCTGTGGTGTTAAGCCTGAGGGGGCAAAGTAAGATACACAAGAGGTTTACCTCCATGCAGCTATGCAGTACCGATTAGTCATTCATTTTTTTAATATCACTTGAAATGCCTGAGAAAGATTAACATTGATACATTGTTCAGTCACTTTAGCTGATTTCATTACCAGAAATGACATCAGCTATAAATCATCTAGACTGTTATCCTAGAAAACACATAAAATCCTTCCGTGTGTGTGTGTGTGTGTGTGTGTGTGTGTGTGTGTGTGTGTGTGTGTTGCACTGTCTGTCAATGCTGCCAATGTTTTATTTTGAATACAAAGTACAATACAACTTTTGTAAAGCAATACAACTTTTTCTGCACAATCTGGAGAAAAAGTTGTATTGCACTTATTGTGGATAATATTGCAATTTGAGTTTGCGATTCGATTATAATGGAACAAATGGTAAAAAGTCCACTTGCTTGATTATCAAGGAAAATGCACAAATACTGACATTATAAAATGTGTATTTCTCAGCTTGAACGAAGTTAAACGATAAACAATATTTATAACAATAACTAGTAAAACAGATGTAAAACAGAATGAGGGGAGCGTGTTGCTCTACGGAGGAGGTGGCTAGAAGGAGCAAATATTGGCATCCTGGCTCTAGCCAAATCTACATCTGACCACTGCAGAGACTCTATCCACAACCTGGTGGAGGAACTAGTATACATGAGTGTATTAGTATAATATCTTAACATTAAATAAAGAGTATAATGTTCAGTTAATATTATTCTGTTAGTATAACATTAATATATTAATTACTATATTCATTATAATTTCATATAATAGTACACTATTTTACCACTAGTTTACAGTTACAACTGTTTAATTTCTGTGGGTTGTTTTTTTAATATAATCATTATAAAATGGCTTTAATTTGTTAAAGCTAAGTACTAAATAGTCAATAATCATATTGTTCAACATCTGAAAGTTTGCTGTAGCACATCAAACTTTTAATGTCCCGCCCTATTCAGGCTGTAATTGGTCGTTTGACGAGAAGTGACACCTACAAGCATGTCGACTTAATGAAATGTAAAACATGTTGAACAAGGGCTCCAATGTGGCTATGTTTAAGCTCTTTACCTTAACAAGCAATAAATCAGCGTATAGTATGACTAACACAATATTAGATAGATTAAACATACACTGTTCTTTCTTGTAGGCCAGGCCTGTGTTATGATGAAATTAGGTGATGCATGAATTGCATGAATTATTATTATGAGCAATGGCGGAGAAGAAGTATAAAATTTTAATAATATGAGAAAGGTAATTTGAGGGTCATGGCATGAAAAACTAAGTTCACCACCAAGTCCTTATCTTAGTTCAAATATCCTAGGAGTCCATCTTTCTATATCCCAGTAAGCAAACAAAAAATACTCAGTTTGAGGTTCAATTCAAAAGTTGTCCAACAAAGAAAAAATCAAGTGTGTTTAATAGACAAGCAAATTCTCCGACAACACCGGAGTTCCCCCGCAGACATCCGATGCTAGTAAAGGCTTGTGCAGACTACACGACTTTCAGCTTCGGCCGATGCTGTGCCGTTCACACTACACAATTTGCCGTTGTGTGACGGGAGTCTTGAAGTCGTTGTGGCGTTCACACTACGTAACTGTTCGGTAACAGGGGGTCACACACTGCACGAGCTGACAGCGGCTGTGTCACCCGACGCTGGTCTCCAAACCACGTTTGGTCAAGACAACACACTTGAAATGTGAAACAGGAAATGACGCGAACCTACACACGAAACAGCTGTTGTTTATGATAAAGATAGCAATTATAAAGACAAAGAATATGGGTGAAAAAATGTATTAGCACACACAGGTAGCAGGATTGTCTGAGCTACAGAGAGAGCTGGAGGTGAGTAAAAAGTGTTTTGCAGTGAAAAAGTAGCTACCTGCTCTGCCAGCTGCCTGCTGTCATTGGCTGGATGTGGATGTCGAGTCGGCCGACTCTGATGCTAGATATCTGGCAGACGTTGGCGATGTGTCAGAAATGTGTCGGGGAGCCGTTTTGATGCGTCATTGACATTTCATGCCAGGTACTGAGATACTGCAAATGTGAAGGCTGCAGTTTGGAAGTGTTAATGTAAGGTTACCTTACATACACCATGGAGTTTGCAAAAGTTACCCCAACATGTAAGTAATGACACTGCAAAGGAATGAACAAAGGGAGAGGCCTGGGAATTAAACCAGGCTGCACAGGCAACATGCAGACATATGCACATACGTACATATACTGCAATATGTAACCCCGAGCCCCCGTATCCACTTTGGCCAGGCTGTCAAAAGCATCTACTTTGTCTCTCCCTTGAAAATGAGACGTATTACAGTGTTATTACCCTTTGAACACAATGGTGATACAACTGAACCTGCTAAGAAGGGAGACTGGTTAGTTAGACAATACAGAAGAGCCACTACCTCTCTGTTGGTGTAATGAAGCAAATATGTTTGAATCAAGTGGAGGGCCATGATGCACAGAAATAAATGAGCCGTTTATTTGGCCCAGGATATGCAGTGTACGTCATCAGAATTATTCTTGTGTAATGGCTGAGAAAAGCTACAGATATACGCTTTGAAATTCCTTTGTGTGGCAAAAGGTGTGTGGCAGCTTGCTGAAAATAAACTTACTTGATAGGTAGTACATTTTTACTTTAATCCAAGTACTTTGACATTTTACTTGCATTCCTCAGAGCCTGAATAGGTAACACAGCTCATAGTTTTACAGATATGGATTGAAGCCAAAGCTAAAAAGTTGTTGTTTTTTTTCCAGTGGAAATCTCAGTTGTAACCACTGAAGGTTAGTGGGTACAAAACCTCAAACAAGCTAGTGTCTACAAAATCAGTCTCAAACTCATTACAAAAGCATCTTGTGGTTCTAAGTCTGCATGACATTACAAATAAATAATAGGCCTTGTCTCTTTAGGATAATTTTTTTGCTGCACAAAAAAAATAGGATCCTTTTTTTGCATCATAATGCTCGCCTAGCGGCTAGTCCAACACACCCTCAAAAACACCAGTGGAAAACCACAGTGACAAGACGTCTGCCTGCTGCCTCTCTTCTCCCTTCCAAACATTAGCTACCCTCCAGGCAGTGTCAATGGATATAAAGTTGTTACTGTGATGGAGAGAGAGTGCACAGTT